ATTTTTATCCCCCCCCCCCCCCCTTTACCTTTTTTGCATAGTTTTAATTTCCCCCCCCCCCCCCCCCCCCAGTTGTGGACGTCCAAAATATAAAATTTACGGAACTTAAATTAATGAATATTTTGGAAAAATGTACAACAATATAAAGAGTATATTTTTACAAAGATTTTTTTTAGAAATTCCTATTATTTGCAGGCAAAATTCTAAATGAAATAATAACTGTTCAAAAACATTTTATTGAATCACTGTATTAAAAAAATGTGATAAACAAATAATCCACCATTTATGCAAAACTGCTGCACTCAAAAAAAAAACACTACAATGTGGACATCCACTTTGTCCTACCCCCCCCCCTTGTCCACTTTAGTCCACTTTTTGCTGAACCCCCCCCATCCCCCCTTTTTGTGGACGTCTTTTATGGATGACCCCAAAGCTTGTAGACTTAAAACATTTATTCCTTTCTCCCAACCCTCCTTACTATCTTGACCATGTCTAACCCAGATGTTTGTATAACTGTCTTGACCATGTTTTAACCACATGTTTGTATAACTCTCTTGACCATGTCTAACCCAAATATTTGTATAACTCTTGACCATGTCTAACCCAGATGTTTTGTATTACCATTAGCTAAGAAACAGCTCCATGATATGGTTCATGTTGAGATTTGGCTGGGGGAAGGAGAGAAGACTATTGGCTCTCGTTGGAACTCTGGCAAAGTCGGCATCTTTGACTCTTATACGTTCTCACCCAAAAGTTTTCATGATGAGGAGTACATCTTTAAATCCGTGGACACTTGGCTGATGGGCAAATGTCAGAGGTATGTCCCCATCACTAGGACCATAATTGTATTACAAATAGGATCATAGTCACTCTACCAATAGGACTAAAATGCCTTTAGCAATAGGACCACAAGTTCTCAACCAATAGGACACCAAACCTCACACCTAATAGGACACCAAACCTCACACCTAATATGACATCAAACGTCACACCATATATCAAACCAAACCTCACACCTAATGTGACACCAAACCTCACACCTAATATGACACCAAACCTCACACCTAATATGACACCAAACCTCACACCTAAAATGACACCAAACCTCACACCTAATATTACACCAAACCTCACACCCAATATAACACCAAACCTCACACCTAATTCACACCAAACCTCACACCTAATATGACACCAAACCTCACACCTAATATGACACCAAACCTCACACCTAATATCACACGAAACCTTACACCTAATATAACACCTAATATCACACCTAATGTCACACCAAACCTCACACCTAATATCACACCTAATATCACACCAAACCTCACACCTAATATCTCACTGTATATCACACCGTATATCACACCAAACCTCACACCTAATATGACACCACACCTCACAGCCAATATACCACCAAAACTCACAGCTAATATGACACCAAACCTCACAGCTAATATGACACCAAACCTCATACCTAACATCACAGCAAACCTCACAGTTAATATTGCACCAAACGTCACAGCTGATATGACACCAAACCTCAAAGCTAATATGACACCAAACCTCAAAGCTAGAATGACACCAAACCTCACAGCTGATATGACACCAAACCTCACAACTAATATCACACCAAACCTCGCACCTAATATGACACCAAACCTCACACCTAATATCACACGAAACCTTACACCTAATATAACACCTAATATCACACCTAATGTCACACCAAACCTCACACCTAATATCACACCTAATATCACACCAAACCTCACACCTAATATCTCACTGTATATCACACCGTATATCACACCTAATATCACACCTAATATGACACCACACCTCACAGCCAATATACCACCAAAACTCACAGCTAATATGACACCAAACATCACAGCTAATATGACACCAAACCTCATACCTAACATCACACCAAACCTCACGGTTAATATTACACCAAACGTCACAGCTGATATGACACCAAACCTCAAAGCTAATATGACACCAAACCTCACAGCTGATATGACACCAAACCTCACAACTAATATCACACCAAACCTCGCACCTAATATGACACCAAACCTCACAGCTGATATAACACAAAACCTTACAGCTGATATGACACCAGACCTCACACCTACTTTCACACCAAACCTCGCACCTAATATGACACCAAACCTCACAGCAGATATGACATGAAACCTCACAGCTGATATGACACCAATTCTCACAGCTAATATGACACAAAACCTCACAGCTGATATGACACCAAACCTCACAGCTGATACGACACCAAACCTCACAGGTGATATTACACCAAACCTCAGAGCTGATATGACACCAAACCTCACAGCTGATATGACACCAAACATAAACCTAATATCACACCAAACCTCACACCTAACATGACACCAAACCTCACACCTAATATGACACCAAACCTCACACCTAATATCACAACAAACCTCACACCTAATATGACACCAAACCTAACACCTAATTGACACCAAACCTAACACCTAATTGACACCAAACCTCACACCTAATATCTCACCAAACCTCACACCTAATCGCACACCTAATATCACACCAAACCTCACACCTAATATCACACCTAATATCACACCAAACTTCACACCTAATATCACACCAAACCTCACACCTAATATAGCACCAAACCTCACACCTAATATCACATCTAATATCACACCAAACCTCACACCTAATATCAAACCAAACCTCACACCTAATATCACACCAAAACTCACACCTAATATCACACCAAACCTAACCCCTAATATCACACCAAACCTCACACCTCATGTGACTCCAAACCCCAAACCTAATATGAAACCAAACCTCACACCTAATATCACACCAAACCTCACACCTAATATCTCTCCAAACCTCACACCTAATATCACATAATCTCACACCAAACCTCACACCTAATATCACACCAAACCTCTCACCTAATATCACACCTAATATCACACCAAACCTCACACCTAATATCACACCATACATCACACCAAACCTCACACCTAATATCACACCTAATATCACACCAAACCTCACACCTAATATCACACATAATATCACACCAAACCTCACACCTAATATCACACCTAATATCACACCAAACCTCACACCTAACATCACACATAATATCACACCAAACCTCACACCTAACATCACACCAAACCTCACACCTAATATCACACATAATATCACACCAAACCTCACACCTAATATCACACCAAACCTCACACCTAATATCACATCTAATATCACACCTAATATCACACTTAATATCACACCAATCCTCACACCTAATATCACACCTAATATCACACCTAATATCACACCTAATATCACACCAAACCTCACACCTAATATCACCCCAAACCTCACACCTAATATCACACCTAATATCACACCTAATATCACACCTAATATTTAATATCACACCAATCCTCACACCTAATATCACACCTAATATCACACCTAATATCACACCAAACCTCACACCTAATATCACACCAAACTTCACACCTAATAATCACACCAAACCTCACAGCTGATGTGAGAAAAATCCTAACAGTCAATATGACAACATAATTCACCAATATGATCACACTTGAAAGCCTTACAAAATTATGAAAATTGACCTATTTCTATTTTTATCAAATATAATTATTTTAGATTTTTAGAGGCCTTTATCTAAAGGTTATATCGAATGTTTCATCGAATAACCTTTAATTTAAAAAAAAAAAAAAAAACTTTCGACACTTTAGAATAGTTTTAAAAATTTTTATCAAATATAATTATTTTAAATTTTTAAAGGCCTTTATCTAAAGGTTATATCGAATGTTTCATCGAATAACCTTTAATTTAAAAAAAAAAAAAAACTTTCGACACTTTAGAATAGTTTTAGAAATTATATTATTTTTGTACGTGTCAATCGTCGACACTGACATCATTTAATGACAGGTTAGTTTTCTACTGGTAAGACCAGCATTGGCCACAAGGAGTTTGGAAATGTAACATGGTAAACAAATTAGGAGGGAAAAAAATAGATAGGGAGGTGTTGGATAAAATGTTTGACTTTCCTTGACAAGCAGAGAGGGGGGTTGGGTCATAATGTGCTGCATAGACCAGGAGCTTGGATCAACAAGAACAGGTCAAGACATTTTGAATAGATTTAATTCATATTTTCCATCTGGAGACTAAAAGATTTTTTTAGAAATTGTGTAGGAATATGTAATGATGGGGCACCAAACAATGGTAGGCTCAGTATAGTGCTTTGTAAACCAAACAATGATAGGCTCAGTATAGTGCTTTGTAAACCAACAATGTTAGGCTTAGTAAAGTGCTTTGTAAACCAACAATGTTAGGCTTAGTAAAGTGCTTTGTAACCAAACAATGATAGGCTCAGTGAAGTTCTTTGTAACCAAACAATGTTAGGCTTAGTAAAGTGCTTTGTAATCCAACAATGGTAGGCTCAGTGAAGTGCTTTGTAAACCAAACAATGTTAGGCTTAGTAAAGTGCTTTGTAAACCAACAATGGTAGGCTCAGTGAAGTGCTTTGTAAACCAACAATGGTAGGCTCAGTGAAGTGCTTTGTAACCAAACAATGGTAGGCTCAGTGAAGTGCTTTGTAACCAAACAATGGTAGGCTCAGTGAAGTACTTTGTAAACCAACAATGGTAGGCTCAGTGAAGTGCTTTGTAACCAAACAATGGTAGGCTCAGTGAAGGGCTTTGTAACCAAACAATGGTAGGCTCAGTAAAGTGCTTTGTAAACCAACAATGGTAGGCTCACTCAATCTTTTCCTTAAAGCCAAAATCCAAAACAAATTATGTCGTCATTTTCTTGCAGTAAATGTTGGGCCATATGAACATGTGAATTCAGTTGATATAGTTGAAGTTTTAGATCAAGTCAACTTTAAGTACAAGGCAAAGATGAACATATTTTATCTTCAACACAGTGAAGGAACTGAGAGATATGATCAAAGTATGGCTAACCTAGGAAAGGAAAGAAGAGGGTTTGGAAGGGGGGGTAACACATGTTGATCTTATTATTTAGGGAGTTGTTGAAACTTTAACAGTTGTTGACAAATGAGAGAGGTTGGGGGGGGGGGTGTCAAATTTATCTAAATTTAGTTGCCTGTACAAGTTAGATATCCCTCTGACCAATAGAGCTGCCTGTATATGGTAGAGATTACTTTGACCAATATGGCCACATTATGCCCCATCAAGTAATCAGTTCAGAATTCATTGGTTATCTTATATTGAAGCTCATCCCTTTTGGTGCACCATTGTGCTGTTACTTATTGTGTGTTTTTCAATGTTCTGACAGTGTGTGTACAGAGCACCCGTGGCGTAGGTTTAGATGCAACCCTTCAACAAAGTCTGTCTTCAATTCCGAGGGTGAACAAGATCAGAAAGCCAGCCCTGAAGACACCGAGCCCTGGCCTAGTGTGGCTGATGAGACACAGCAGTCTGGACTGTCCGATTTGAAAGATAGCAAAGCAGTCAAAAAGTCTGAAGATTCCAATGAAAGTCAGCTTTTAAAAAGGATAGAAAGGGATGATTTTGAAAATATCAACTTCAATCTGAAATCAAATTTATGCAAAACAGTAATGTCACGTCCACTAGGTTTTTGTCCCCTAAATAGATGGAAGTTAGTCAACAATTTAGACCAACTTAAACGAGTCCAATTAAATTTGTCTCCAAGGTGGATGAAACGGGATAAAATAAATTGTAAATCTCTGTCAGGTCCCCATAGACCAATGACAGCTCCTCATGGTTCTGTGACAGCTCCACATAGTCCTGTGACAGTTCTATCTCGTGGTGATGCAACATCAAGCTGCTGGATGTCTCCATTTGTGAAGAAGATCCAGAGAGATTTGACCATCATTCCGTCACCAAGGGAACATCTGGACAACTTTCATGTCACTGATGACCGACAGCTGCCTGTCGAGAGATCTACTGCGGAGTGCCCAAAGCCCAGAGAAACGATGCATCATGGAATTGACAAAGAAAAAAAGCCACCAGACCTTCCGCTCTTCAACCTGGAAACAAATGTTGGTCACCAAGTGGCAGTGGCAGGCTGTGGTAACCATGCAGAGAAACATGAGAAAATGTCTGCCTATTCAGACATTGAAGAGAGCTGTGCACCTCATACACAAACATTTACAACTGTAGATTTCAGGTCATCCAGCTCCCGTGGAATCAATGTCTGGGGCAGTGGACACACACCACTTTCCTTATATATATGGCTGAGAAATGGTTCTGTGCTCATTCACTGTTATCAGAGTTGGACCATGGATATGTTGAACATGGGCGTGAGAGCCTGGCACATTTACTCCTACAGGAACAATGAAGACCCATCGTGGGGACAGGATTTTTCTCAGGACGTCTTACGTTTTGAGCAAGTGCAAGACTCAAAATGGGCTCAGAAACTTGAGTTGACACATACACAAAATAGCTGTGCATACGATTTTCGAAATTCGCACAACGAATACGTGTTTGATTTATGCACCGGGTTGCATGGCGGCTATGGCCACACCCGTTGCGGCACTTCAAACAACCTTAACAACAACAGCAGCACCAAAGGTCTCGACCTTTTTGCCAGCGAAGACATCAGTGTTGGGGAGACCAGGCTTAAGACGGGGGATTTAGAGTGTCTCGGTGCAAGGAAAATGGAAAAATTTCAAAACAAGCTCCCCCCACTCATGCTCTACAGAAAAAAAGCTGAAGTAACAAAGAAGCTGGCCATGAAGAAAATAATTCGATTGGAGAATCTCCCCGTGCTCCCTATGTTTGCCGGGATCAAAGACATTTTAAACACTGGTGACTCTGAGTCCGTCCACGCCATTGTTTCTGGGAGTCAGAGTTCCAAGTCGTCGCAAGGGGATGAATCAGGTAAGCCAGATTCTACAGTTAGTTCAGAGAGCAGTGCACAGACAAAGTCTGATGCCGAGTCCATCGGCAGTAACACAGGGAGGTCTCCCAAAAAAAAATCTCTGGGAAGAGACAAATCGGTTGAGAGGTGTCCATCGGAAGTCTCAGCAGACGGTCCGAGAAAGTTCAAGGCCAGGCCCTCCAAGATGGGGTCAGCCAAGAAAGGTGCTAAAAGCCAGGAAACTGGTCAGCGGAATCCATGTATGATAGGCAGCTTAAGTGAGGTTGTCATTGGAGACGTCAGTGAATACGTCTACAGTCAGATGCAGGGACAGGAAAAGTCTACCGGTGTTGATGACGATGATGATGACGATGATGAGGATGATGACAGTGAGTCAGAGTCTGATACAGAATCTGAAGATGAGGATGTCCAATCCAATGATTACGTCGTACTCGACAGCAGCACCAATATGGTTCCATGGTTTCTACGAACAACTGTGTCCACGGAACCCTATGTGGGTCTGGAAGAGTTCTTCGATGGTTATGTTGACGATGATGATGATGATGGCGGAAGCAGTAATAATGAAAGCCCCAAAAAGAAGAAATCGCCCACCTGTACTAGCTTGTCGACTCCTGTGATTAAACGGAACAAGGTCTCAGGTACGATGTAGTAGGCTCTATTTAAAGCTATTCATTTCCTGAAGTTTCAGTAAAGTTTCAAAAATGTTAGGAGCCTTTAAACACAATTAAATCTGCAATGTTTACTCACAGTTGTATCTGAATGCACGGTGGTCATATATAAAGGTGAACTTCATTTTGGGGCCTTACATTCTACCCAGATAGGTAGCAGATCTCATCAGACCAGAATAAGAATATTTAAAACTTTAAAGAATTTTCAGTGCTAAAGCTTTATAAGACATTTTAAAGCCCTAATAAATAATAGTTTCTTTATATGTAAAGTTCATTTACTAATAAATGATTTAAGAGAAGTTCAACTGTTGCTGTAAGACTAAAGCAAGCATTTATCAGAGGTTTCTTTACTAGGAAGTGATCCTAAAAAGGGCTAAAAACAGTTTTGAATCAATATAGACCCTGTTCAAGTTCCCAAGACTTGCAAAATGCCTGCCTGGATGAGATACAAAACTGTCATCCATCAATTAAAGATATATATAAGATAAACAACTGACACCAATAAGATGCACAGCTGTCATCCATAATATACATATTTACATCTATAATCTACACAACTGACATCCACAATATACAAAATTGACATCCATAATATACGAAACTGACATCCACAATATACACAATTGACATCCACAATATACACGATTGACATCTATAATATACACAACTGACATCTATAATATGCACAACTGACATCCACAATATACACAATTGACATCCACAATATACACAATTGACATCCATAATATACACAATTGACATCTATAATATATACAACTGACATCCACAATATACACAATTGACATCCATGATATACACAATTGACATCCAAAAGATAGGCAATTAACATCTACAAAATACACAACTGACATCCACAAAATACACAACCGACATCCATGGGATACACAATTCAGTCATGGTTTAGTACAATTCAAACTGGTCAAGACATTTTAAGTTTTTTATGTTGCTGTATAAATAAGGAACCATAAATGGGTTTACTAACGCCGGTCCTATAATGTCTTGTTTGTTTCCCTTACTTATTGATTTTGTCTCTTCCATTTGATCCTGTTCACTTTATGTACCGGTACTGTTGGTGAACAATAATACTTTGAGTACCTCTAACAGCTGCGTCTGAAATGTGCCCATAGCAACTTGTGTGCTTGTGTTTGGCACCAGTACTGTTGAATAAATGAGTTCAAATCCAGCTTTCTTGTGCAGCACAAGGAATAAGATTTAAAAAAATTAAATTTAAAGTCGTATAAAGGTCGCTTTTAAACCCAAGTCTTATAAGGGTAGCATTCAGACTTTTGGTGGCCATCTAGACCAAAGTCTTATAAGGGTTGCACTCAGAATTTTGATGACCTACTGGCCCCACGTCATTTAAAGGTTGCATTGAGACTTTTGGTGGCCCTCTAGACTCAAGTCGTATAAGGGTAGCTTTCATACTTTTGGTTGACCTCTAGACCCAAGTCTTATAAAGGTAGCATTCAGACTTTTTCATGGCCCTCTAGACCCAAGTCTTATAAAGGTAGCATTCAAACTTTTGGTGGCCCTCTAGACGTAAGTCTTATAAAGGTAGCATTCAGACTTTTGGTGGCCCTCTAGACCCAAGTCTTATAAAGGTAGCATTCAGACTTCTGGTGGCCCTTTGTCAGTGTCCTCCAAGTCCTCCAAGGGTTGTTTAATTTTGAAACAATTTTGTTTGACTGTAAATGTTTATTGATAGAAGTGGTCCAGGCCAAATCTCTTATTTACATTTTGCTTCCTGTGTGTCCTGCTTCCTCTTCAAAACCGCCCTTCCCCCAACCCGGCATATTTTATATCAATGTTACTGAGTGTTAAAAAAGGCTGTCACGCAGCGAGCGTCATGCTTGACCGTCGAACTCAGGTCAATAGTTACATTTTTTTTGTTAAAGAGGCGGCGAATATTATATTAATCAATGAAGAGCCACGAGTATGTCTTAGGACGTTCTTCTTCTTCTTCTTATATTTGAGGGGCCCACGATCAATGTGTTGATCATTCTGGCTCCTGGTTTAAATTCACGTTTAGTGGGATTATTTTTTTAAAGGCCGGCAGGTTGAGTGTAGGACTTTCAGTATGCTTATTGTTTAACGGCAGGAAATTAGGGTGTTGGGCTGTCTCTAGGCCTATTGTTTAAAGGCCGGCTTATATGAACGAAAATGAGAAGTTAACTCTTTTCTTTTTTTTCCTTTTTTTTTTTTTTTTTTTTTTTTTTTTTTTTTGGTAACACTTGGTCCCAAAGGATATTTTCTCAAAATACGAAGCCCGGTGTAAAAAAAACAAACTAGGACCCGGTTAAGCCCTAGTTTAATAAATTGCTGGGATTTTTTTAATCGTTCATAGATTCATAGCATTTCCCAATCATCGTTTTCTGGTTGATTTATTTTAAACATTGAATGGAAGAAGTTAAGAAGACTTCCTTCAGCATTTGTGTGACGTCACAGTTTAATGATGAAATTAGATCAGTTCTTGAACATGGCTGAGTTGGAGTAACTCTTGGATGTACGTGTAAGATCCAGTTCTGGGCTGACCAGGGTTACAGTTCTTGAACATGGCTGAGTTTAAGTAATTCTTGGTGTACGTGTAAGACCCAGTTCTGGACTGACCAGGGTTGCAGTTGTGTATAGGCTAGCGATTGACATGGTGCACTAGAATGCAGGTGACATGACAGTAGCCTTATGATTGATATTCCCAAATTGCATAAATTTCCCGCTCCGGTGAGTCTGGTCTATTCCACCGTCCACCCAATGCTCTTGTTCTGAACTTGACCTAATTTGAAGGCGTCGTTGCCAGTTGCTAAGGACGCACTGCTTTTGACTAAGGTTGCTTCAATCGATAATCCGGTAGACCGGCTGGGTAAAGCTTGGGGTATCCAAGTCAGCGGTTTAACTTGATTTATTGCCCCACAAGTGAACTCCGAAAAGTGAGCACCCTTAAACACACACAAACTTAATTTATATCACGTTATGCAGAAACGACACTAGCACAGTCTGGGACGTCCCCACGGGCCACACATCTCGAAGTTAACTGTATCTTTCATTAATTGTTTTTTTAAACATCGAATGCATTTTGGTTGCTTTTAATTTCATCACAATTTCAGGCACATCTGTACATTGATGGGCGCTATGGTGGCATCATGTCAGCACAAAGTAGTTCTATTCTCACACCTTACCTAGTGTAAGCTCGAAGTATGTCTATTCTCACACCCCAACCCCACTTTGCGTTATCCCAAATTATGTCTATTCTCACACCTCGCGTAGTGTAAGCCTGAAGTATGTCTATTATCACACCACGCCCGGTGTAGGCACCGTGGATTAGATCATTGAACCACTTGTAGGTCTGTAACTGTAAGTCCGGGAGAACAGTTCCTTTATTTTGACAACCTGTCGCTAATGGCTTCCAGGCTTTGCTATTTGACCAGATCGATAGATATTGTGGGTCAACTTGCGTCTGTTGGAGAAATGGAACTCGATTAATCAGGACTTGGAAAGTCACGTGGGCTGTTTAGATTACAATAATATTTGCCGGTCGTTTAGTGTACACATCTGGATATCTGTTCCTGGATAATTCTCAGATATCAGATTGTGTGTACACATAGGGGTATTTGATTCTGGATAGTATACTGGATATGTGATGGGGTGATTCTGATCATGGATAATTCTGTGCCATATTAGGATATAGGATATTGTGTGCTACCTTTTTTTTTTAGATCGTGCTACATAGATTTATGCGAAACATCCCATTGGTCTCATCAAATGATCTATCAAGTTTATTATTACATGTTAGAAGAGAGAAGGTCGTGATGAGTTCGTTTGCCCCATTAGTTTGCCCCGTGTGTGTAGATGGTCATGTGTGTAGATTAAGTGATCAGTTGATTTATATTTCATATATTTCATATATAGGGCCGAGGTCATGGTGCAATTGTTACCCGGCAATGTCCTGGCTTTCATCGTTAGTCCAGGCGAAGAACAAACGAACGAATTTAACTAGTGTATAGGCTTTTATGTTAGAAAATTGATCGGTTAGGCCAGGGCGCCAGTGGTGTGACTCACGCCCCCCCCCCCAACCCCACCGCTCACTGTTCAGTTTAATGCGAAACCTGCGAGATGAAAGAAAAGGTACATCACAAATTTCCAGGTTAACGTTTGATGGCTGAACAATGTTAAACTGATGCTAAATACGCTAGACAATAAACAATGTTAAACTGAGGCTAAATGGGCTAGACATTTAGCAATGCTAAACTGAAATTAGGCTAGACAATAAACAATGTTAAACTGAAGCTAAATAGTCTAGATAATAAACAATTTTAAACTCTTGCTAAATTCGCTAGACAATAAACAATGTTAAACTGATGCTAAATAGGCTAGACAATAAACAATGTTAAACTGAGGCTAAATAGGCTAGACAATAAACAATGTTAAACTGAGGCTAAATAGGCTAGACAATAAACAATGTTAAACTGATGCTAAATAGGCTAGACAATAAACAATGTTAAACTGAGGATAAATAGGCTCGACAATAAACAATGTTAAACTGAGGCTAAATAGGCTAGACAATAAACAATGTTAAACTGATGCTAAATAGGCTAGAAAATTAACAATGTTAGTCTGATGCTAATTAGGCTAGACAATAAACAATGTTAAACTAAGGAAAAATTAGGCTAGACAATAAACAATGTTAAACTGAGGCTAAATAGGCTAGACAATAAACAATGTTAAACTGATACTAAATAGGCTAGACAATAAACAATGTTAAACTGATGCTAAATAGGCTAGACAATAAACAATGTTAAACTGAGGCTAAATAGGGTAGACAATAAACAATGTTAAACTGAGGCTAAATAGGCTAGACAATAAACAATGTTAAACTGATACTAAATAGGCTAGACAATAAACAATGTTAAACTGATGCTAAATAGGCTAGACAATAAACAATGTTAAACTGAGGCTAAATAGGTTAGACAATAAACAATGTTAAACTGATGCTAAATAGGCTAGACAGTAAACAATGTTAAACTGAGGATAAATAGGCTAGACAATAAACAATGTTAAACTGAGGCTAAATAGGCTAGACAATAAACAATGTTAAACTGAGGCTAAGTATGTTAGACAATAAGCAATGTTAAAGTGAGGAAAAATTAGGCTAGACAATAAACAATGTTAAACTGAGGCTAAATAGGCTAGACAATAAACAATGTTAAACTGATACTAAATAGGCTAGACAATAAACAATGTTAAACTGAGGATAAATAGGCTCGACAATAAACATTGTTAAACTGAGGCTAAATAGGGTAGACAATAAACAATGTTAAACTGAGGCTAAATAAGCTAGACAATAAAATAGACTGTAAAACTACTGTCTATGTGAATGTATACAACCACACACCCCTCAGTAGTATTGCTCTTCTTCGTCCTTCGCATGCGGCAGACTTGACTTGATCTGTAGTTTATATAAAGTGGGGGTCAGTCTGTTCGATCAAATGGCAAGACTTAGTCAAGATGACTGGAAATAGACCAGGATGGAGTGGATGACCAGTAGTGTGTGTGTGTTTCACTATGCTCTTTATGGGTTCTACATCGCAGGAGTTGTCGGAATTTTCTTTGTGTTAATGTCATACCGCTTACGAGACTCCATCTCCGGGTTTGATTTCATAGTTTTACTTCTTTTTGACCGCCAACAACAATACCCAAATGACCACCAACCACACATACCCAAATGACCACCAACCACACATACCCATGACCACCAACAACACATACCCATGTCCACCAACCACACATACACACAACCACCAACACATATCCACGACCACAACCACACATACCCACGACCACGAACCACACATACCCATGACCACAACCGCACATACCCATGACCACAACCGCACATAGCCATGACCACCAACCACACATATCCACAACCACCAACCACACATACCCATGACCACCAACCACACATACCCATGACCACCAACCACACATACCCATGACAACCAACAACACATACTCAAATAACCAACTACACATAACCAAATGACAACCAACCACACACACTCATGACCACCAACCACACATACCCATGACAACCAACAACACATACCCATGACCACCAACCACACATACACACAACCACCAATACATATCCACGACCACAACCGCACATACCCACGACCACGAACCACACATACCCATGACCACAACCGCACATAGCCATGACCACCAACCACACATATCCACAACCACCAACCACACATACCCATGACCACCAACCACACATACCCATGACCACCAACCACACATAGACACGACCACAACCACACAGCCACAACCGCCAACCACACAAACCCATGACCACCAACCACACATACCCACGACCACCAACCACACATACCCATGACCACCAACCACACATACCCAAATCACCACCAACCACACATACCCATGACCATCAACCACACATACCCATCACCACCAACCACACACACCCACGACCACCAACCACACATACCCACGACCACACACCTTACCCACGACCACCAACCACACATACCCATGACCACCAACCACACATACCCAAATGACCACCAACCACACATACCCATGACCATCAACCACACATACCCATGACCATCAACCACACATACCCATGACCACCAACCACACATACCCATGACCACATACCCAAATGACCACCAACCACACATACCCATGACCATCAACCACACATACCCATGACCATCAACCACACATACCCATGACCACCAACCACACATACCCATGACCACCAACCACACTTACCCATGACCACCAACCACACACACCCACGACCACCAACCGCACATACCCAAATGACCACCAACCACACTTACCCATGACCGCCAACCACACTTACCCATGACCACCAACCACACATACCCATGACCACCAACCACACTTACCCATGACCACCAACCACACATACCCAAATGACCACCAACCACACATATTTATGACCTCCAGCCACACATACCAATGACCGCCGACCAAACATACCCATGACCGCCAACCACACTTACCCATGACCACCAACCGCACATACCCAAATGACCACCAACCACACATATTTATGACCTCCAGCCACACATACCCATGACCGCCACCAAACATACCCATGACCGCCAACCACACTTACCCATGACCGCCAACCACACTTACCCATGACCACCAACCGCACATACCCAAATGACCACCAACCACACATATTTATGACCTCCAGCCACACATACCCATGACCGCCACTAAACATACCCATGACCACCAACCACACTTACCCATGACCACCAACCGCAATTACCCAAATGACCACCAACCACACATATTTATGACCTCCAGCCACACATACCAATGACCGCCACCAAACATACCCATGACCACCAACCACACTTACCCATGACCACCAACCACACACACCCACGACCCGCAAGCACAAAATAAAAGGATGAAATTGACACAGTCTCTAGACCTTCCTTTTCCTCCTAGTTAGTACAACGATGACATTGACACAGTCTCTAGACCTCCCTTTTCCTCCTAGTTAGTACTCTTTTTGGAAGTATGTCGTCTTGTCACCTGCCCTTTCGTTCACGTGATCCGTGAGGGGGGGTGGGGGGGGTGAATCTGCTTTTGGGACAAATTGATATTCATGTATTATCATTATATCTATATGAAGTTGCAACCCACATGGTCAGTATTTGTAGGGGCTTTGACAGTATTTATTAGATATGAAGTCATAACACGGTGCTAAAGATGCCTGGATGATATGCTAGTAACGTTGTTGGTATTTGGTAGGATTGTTGGGTTTACCAGTAAGGTCGTAGAGTTTGTTATGAGGTTAGAGTTCTTGTTATTGTCGTGTTCCCACTATTGTCACTGGTTATATACATATATAGACTGCGGTCTCATATTTGGTCTAAATCTCATGTTGTAGTGAAAGTGGAACAGACGCCAAGCTCACCATTCTCTCAGTCACCACCATTCTCTCAGTCACCACCATTCTCTCAGTCACCACCATTCTCTCAGTCACCACCATTCTCTCAGTCACCACCATTCTCTCAGTCACCACCATTCTCTCAGTCACCACCATTCTCTGACAATCTCGTTCTCCACCCTGTAGTGTTGAGGCGCCATAGCCGCCCCGCCCGCCCGCCTCTGTGCACATACTAAACGCATTGGGCCTCCTACTGTCGCCTTTTCCATGCCTCATACATACACGTGAACTGGGGGCCATTTGGGGACAAACCCGCCCATTGCTCGTGCCGTGCTCCCAAACCAACGCTGTCACGGACACCCACGTCCCAAAAACTCACCCTCCGATCACAAGGGCCGGCCATTGAAACGACGCATGCAGCTGCCTGTGAGCCATGCTTGGCCAACTGCTGTCAGGGGTGAGACAATGACGCGTCATCTCTCGTTATTGTCATGCTGAAATAGGGGCCCCCCAAAAAATTGTGTTTTTTAAATCCCCACTGAACCAGGCGTGTGTGTGAGCAGTCAACCGAATCCGACGTGACAGGCAGACAAAGGAGGCGGTAACATATGGAAGCCCCTTTGAACATTTAAAAAAAAAATAAACGTGTTCTTTTCGATGTGGTCCGCCGGTGCTATACTAATATTGACGCCCGGTTTGAAATAAGACGCCTAGTTTTCTGCCTTCTTTCTTGTCAAGTATTTGGTTAGCCCCTGGACGTGCTGGCGTTGGTTTTTTGTTGTTTTTTTTTAACTGGTGAACTCACTACACACCAACAACATAGGATAATGGATTGCATAGGATAATAGACTACACTTCAAGAAATAGACATTTGATTTCTGAATTTAATCTGCCTCAGGGTTGTTGTTGTTTTTTTACCAAACCGTGTCGTCAGTCAAGTCATTGATGTTAGCCAAACGGCCAGCAAGCCATTTCTGTAAGCCCAAGCTATCAGCAAGCCATTTCTGTAAGACAAAGCTATCAGCATGACATTTCTGTAAGCCAAACTATCATCAAGCCATTGCTGTAAGCCAAACTATCAGCAAGCCATTGCTATAAGTAAGCCAAACTATCAGCAAGCCATTGCTGTAAGCCAAACTATCAGCAAGCCATTGCTGAAAGCCAAAGCTATCAGCAAGCCATTGCTGAAAGCCAAAGCTATCATCAAGCCATTGAGCTACACCTAACTGGTCCAAATGACGGTTGAAGACGGAGTTGAAACGGAGGGAGTGTCAGGTCTGTAGACGTAAACTTGAGTAGAAAGTTGAGGATAATATTGGTTGTCTTTGTTTTGGGTGGCTTGGATATAATGCCATTTGAGGGCCAAAGTGGGATATGTCATGGTTAACAGACCTTTTAATTATGAGAGCTGGTGATGGGTGGGTTAACTAAGCTCAGGGGGATCCTGGATGGGTTAACTAGATATAGTCAGTGGGGTCAATCACATCCTAGAATATTATTGTTATAGTTATAGTGTGTGGGACAATCACATTGTTACGCACTGACTTGTATTGGGAGAAATTTATCTCCTATTTTAATTTTGATTGGCTCGTTGTAAGCAGTGCCTAACAAAGGACGATACCACAGAATCAACAATATTAAAGATACGACCCAAAACAGTTTCTAGTTACAATTAATAAGATTTATTATGTCTAAAGATAATTACAAAAGAAAATAAAATAAAATTACAATCTTCAACTTACAGTATGGTGGATCTCGTACCGGTACACAGTTAATACAATTAGAAATAATGATGCCAATAAATAATGCGAAATAAACACATATAAGTAGGAGCACACAAATACACAAAGAATAAAACACGCCTCGTAATGTTAAGNTCCAGAAGGGCTTATGACGTGTTGTTTACATATCTCGGGTTAAGGAGTACATTCCAGAAAGTACCCCGAGTCATTATACCCAATGCGTAATTGGAAGCCGATTGTAAACAAGATACTTCAAAGGCCTAAGCCACACCCCTTTGTGAACACAGCGTCTCATGCGGGGTCAATCAGAGGGCACGCACGAGAAATATGATGTAAACAAGCTCTCTGTAACACACATCCTATAATATTATTGTTATAGAGGGTGGGGTCAATCACATCCTAGAATTTTATTGTTATAGTTATAGTGTGTGGGGGACTACCACATCCTAGAATGTTATTGTTATTAGTGGGTGGGGACAACCAAATCTTAGAATATTATTGTTATAGTTATAGTTGGTGGGGATAATCACATCCTAGAATATTATTGTTATTAGTGGGTGGGGACAATCACATCCTAGAATATTATTGTTATTAGTGGGTTGGAACAATCACATCCTAGAATATTATTGTTATTAGTGGGTGGGGAAATCACATCCTAGAATATTATTGTTATAGTGGTAGGGGACAATAACATCATAGAATATTATTGTTATAGTGGGTGGGGACAACCACATCCTAGAATATTATTGTTATAGTTTTAGTGGGTGGGGACAATCACATCCTAGAATATTATTGTTATAGTTTTAGTGGGTGGGGACAATCACATCCTAGAATATTATTGTTACAGTTTTAGTGGGTGGGGAAAATCACATCCTAGAATATTATTGTTATAGTGGTAGGGGACAATAACATCATAGAATATTATTGTTATAGTGGGTGGGGACAACCACATCCTAGAATAGTATTGTTATAGTTTTAGTGGGTTGGGACAACCACATCCTAGAATATTATTGTTATAGTTTTAGTGGGTGGGGACAACCACATCCTAGAATAGTATTGTTATAGTTTTAGTGGGTGGGGACAATCACATCCTAGAATATTATTGTTATAGTTTTAGTGGGTGGTTACAACCACATCCTAGAACATTATTGTTATAGTTTTAGTGGGTGGGGACAACCTCATCCTAGAATATTATTGTTATAGTTTTAGTGGGTGGGGACAATCACATCCTAGAATATTATTGTTATAGTTTTAGTGGGTGGGGAAAATCACATCCTAGAATATTATTGTTATAGTTTTAGTTGGTGGGGACAACCTCATCCTAGAATGTTATTGTTATAGTTTTAGTGGGTGGGGAAAATCACATCCTAGAATATTATTGTTATAGTGGTAGGGGACAATAACATCCTAGAATAGTATTGTTTTAGTGGGTGGGGACAATCACATCCTAGAATATTATTGTTATAGTTTTAGTGGGTGGGGAAAATCACATCCTAGAATATTATTGTTATAGTTTTAGTGGGTGGGGACAACCTCATCCCAGAATATTATTGTTATAGTTTTAGTGGGTGGGGACAATCACATCCTGTAACATCGCACAGAGAGAAGAACATCTAGAATGTCACTACAAGGAAGCATAGAGTGGTCAACTGATTGATGGCCACCACATAAGAGTCATACAGTTATTTCCACATTTGTTTGGAAGCCACATATCAATTCTTATCTCCTTTGACTTTGATAATGTTCATCTTTTGACTCAATCTGTGGCATTTCCAAATAACTAGCATCTGATATGTCATCTGTAACTAGAATTTGCAAGTTTCTTCAATCCATAAAAACACAACATCAACCCAATATCCACACATTATCCACACAATATCAAACCCAATAACCACACAGCATTAACCCAATGTCTACACAACCTCAACCCAATATCCACAATAGTAACCCAATATCCACACATCAACCCATTATCCACACAATAACGACCCAATAACTACACATCCAATGTCCACATAATAGCAACCCTATATCCGCACAATATTAACCCCATATCCAAACAATATCAACTTAATATTTAGACAATATCCACATCAATGTTCCCATAATATCAACTCAATACCAACTCAATATCCACGCAGTATCAACACAATATCCACACAGTATCCAGCCAATCATCTCACAGCACCACCTAATACTTGACCAATATGACAGAAGACTCATGAGAACTATAACTGTTTTACTTCCAAGCACCCCTAATAGATTTGAACACGCTGCCCTCTTTTTCTCAGGTGGGACGACTACCCAGAATGGAAGGAAGGCTGTGGGATCGGGCGGCAGCAATGGCTCTGGCAAGGGAAAGGGGGAGTGCACTGAAACTGGGGGAGCCAAGGGAGGCAGCGATGGCAAAAAGGAGAAATCCAGCGAACAGAGTGGTGGCGGAGGAGATGAGAGTTCTGGCAAAGACGACAGCAGCGGGAGTGGTGGAGGAAAGAAGGGTAACAAGCCACCACCATGTACCCTCCCCACAAACATGCAGCCAACATTTTATGTCAGTGGCGGGAACAACAGCATTCTGTAAGTGACAGTGTGCATGTAAGCAACATCATTCTGTAAGTGACAGTGTGCATGTAAACAACAGCATTCTATTAGTGACAGTGTGCATGTGAACAACAGCATTCTATTAGTGACAGTGTGCATGTAAGCAACATCATTCTGTAAGTGACAGTGTGCATGTAAGCAACAGCATTCTGTAAGTGACAGTGTGCATGTAAACAACAGCATTCTATTAGTGACAGTGTGCATGTAAGCAACATCATTCTGTAAGTGACAGTGTGCATGTAAACAACAGCATTCTATTAGTGACAGTGTGCATGTGAACAACAGCATTCTATTAGTGACAGTGGGCATGTAAGCAACATCATTCTGTAAGTGACAGTGTGCATGTAAGCAACAGCATTCTGTAAGTGACAGTGTGCATGTAAACAACAGCATTCTATTAGTGACAGTGTGCATGTGAACAACAGCATTCTGTTAGTGATGTGTGCATGTAAACAACAGCATTCCTTAAGTGATGGTGTGCATGTAAACAACAGCATTCTGTAAGTGACAGTGTACATGTAAACAACAGCATTCTGTAAGTGACGATGTGCATGTAAACAACAGCATTCTGTGACAGTGTGCATGTAAACAACAGCATTCTGTTAGTGACAGTGTGCATTAAACAACAGCATTCTTTAAGTGATGGTGTGCATGTGAACAACATCATTCTGTAAGTGACAGTGTGCATGTGAACAACAGCATTCTGTAAGTGATGGTGTGCATGTAAACAACAGCATTCTGTAAGTGACAGTGTGAACAACAGCATTCTGTAAGTGACAGTGTGCATGTGAACAACAGCATTCTGTAAGTGACAGTGTGCATGTGAACAACAGCATTCTGTAAGTGACAGTGTGCATGTAAACAACAGCATTCTGTAAGTGACACGGTGCATGTAAACAATAACATTCTGTAAGTGACACTGTGCATGTAAACAATAACATTCTGTAAGTGACACGGTGCATTTAAACAACAGCATTCTGTGACAGTGTGCATGTAAACTGATGTTGCTCAATGTAAAAAAAAAAAATGTGCTTTTATTTGATGCCAGTCCTTAGTACAATAAACACAACGATGCCTCATTCTGGCTCCTCATTCTCCCATAGCAATGACATCAATGTCCAACACATCTGAGATGTTCAACAGCTAGTGATTGACTTTAAAAACTTGACTAGTGTTTCCTGATTGACATAAACTCTGTTCTGCTGTATATATGTATATGTCACTAATACTATTTTTATCTGTACTGTTGGTGTCTTTGATATATTTGATATTGATAGATTTTTACCTTAAATATCTTGGGCATATAACAGGCATTTACATGTACTTAAAATTCTGGAGTATATGAATAGATCTTTGACTTGAAACATTTCACGTATATTTAAGATTCTTTGTTTAAATGATTTTGTCATTGTGATAAGGTAGAACTGTTCCTGTACTGGGTGGAGGGTAAATGATCTTGTCATTGTGATAAGGTAGAGCTGTTCCTGTACTGGGTGAAGGGTAAATGATCTGGTCATTGTGATAAGGTAGAGCTGTTCCTGTACTGGGTGAAGGGTAAATGATCTGGTCATTGTGATAAGGTAGAGCTGTTCCTGAACTGGGTGGAGGGTAAATGATCTGGTCATTGTGATAAGGAAGAAATGGTTATGTATTGTCATTAGGTAGAAATGGTTATGTATTGTGATAAGGTAGAGCTGTTCCTGAACTGGGTGGAGGGTAAATGATCTTGTCATTGTGATAAGGTAGAGCTGTTCCTGTACTGGGTGAAGGGTAAATGATCTGGTCATTGTGATAAGGTAGAGCTGTTCCTTTACTGGGTGGAGGGTAAATGATCTGGTCATTGTGATAAGGTAGAGCTGTTCCTGAACTGGGTGGAGGGTAAATGATCTGGTCATTGTGATAAGGAAGAAATGGTTATGTATTGTCATTAGGTAGAAATGGTTATGTATTGTGATAAGGTAGAGCTGTTCCTGAACTGGGTGGAGGGTAAATGATCTTGTCATTGTGATAAGGTAGAGCTGTTCCTGTACTGGGTGAAGGGTAAATGATCTGGTCATTGTGATAAGGTAGAGCTGTTCCTTTACTGGGTGGAGGGTAAATGATCTGGTCATTGTGATAAGGTAGAGCTGTTCCTGAACTGGGTGGAGGGTAAATGATCTGGTCATTGTGATAAGGAAGAAATGGTTATGTATTGTCATTAGGTAGAAATGGTTATGTATTGTAATTAGGTAGAAATGGTTATGTATTGTGATTAGGTAGTAATGGTTGTGAAATTTTGATTAGGTAGAAATGGTTATTCATTGTGATTAGGTAGTAATGGTTGTGTATTGTGATTAGGTAGAAATCGTTAGGTATTGTGATAAGGTAGAAATGGTTATGTATTGTGATTAGGCAGAAATCGTTATGTATTGTGATTAGGTAGAAATGTTTGTGTATTGGGTGGTGGATAAGAATACCAACTAAACCAAATATTAACTTTACTTTAGTATTGAGGACATTGCTAGGCGACCTCATCAAATCCCCCCCTCCCCCACAATCTATCTCAACAAAAAGAATATCTTGTTGATGAACTGATCACTCGGACATTTGCTATAAATGTCTAGGTTTATTTTTATTCAATTTTTAGGTTGTGCTTTTCAAATATGTTGTTTATTGGTTTTTGCTATTAAAATGATGATGGTATATGGTGATGATGGTGATGGCCAAGAGGCAGAAGAGACAACTGAATTTCAACTAAACATTTCAGTACCAGCTTCACATTCGTTCACGTTGGTTCGTATTTAGATATGCTGACCTATTCCGGAGTTGTTCATCAGTACTCCAGATACCCACCAGCCTTGTTTAACTGGTTCCAGTGTTAAATAAACTCTTCCTGTTCCATTTCATGGGTATCATCTAACGCCATGACACGTATGCTGGTCGTGAACCAGCGGTGTGTCTGGTACAAGTGATGTGTCCATCTCTTTGGGGCCGCTCATTATACGCTTTGAGACCCCTTTTTGTCTCCATTCTGTCATCATCATATATCATCAACATGCCTGTTGCCATAGAAACATGTTAGATCTGATAGTGTGGCGCCAAGCGTTAAGTGTAAGCGTTGACCGTGTCTAATGTGGTGCTGAAATAGTGGAGACAACCACCCAAGGGAATCTACTCTTTAAACATGGAATCACATGAAGGGATATGATCCACATTACAATTGTTTGCCCCCCATGCTGTCTCTTCTGTGGTCATCATTATCATGAGGTGATCGTGTTGGGTTCCTACGACCCTCACCTTGTCAGTCAATGTTGGACCTGTCACCAGCCATCATCATTTTATATCAAGAACCAATGGATGTAGGCCCTATCATCTAGGAACGCCACAACTCTAGCACAACCTTACAGTGCATTGAAATACAATGAGAGAGCAGGACACACTGCAATTTATTACATTACATTTTATATTAGGACAGACAATGCAGCTTATTACATTCTATAGCAGGAGAAAATTATATTATATTTCACAGTTGTATAGAATAATAATGATTAATTACCTTTCATTGTATATTAGGACAGACACCACAATTTATTATATTACAAATTATAGTAGGATAGACACCACAAGTTATTTTATTAAAATTAATAGTAGGACAGACACTACAATTTATTTTATTAAAATTCATAGTAGGATTAGACATCACAATTAGTATTACAATTTATAGTAGGACAGACACAACAATTTACTAAATTAATAATAGGACAGGCACCACAATTTATTGTATTACAATTCATAGTGGTATAGACATCACAATTTATAACATTCAATAATAGGATGTATGTAACAGTCAATTATACTTAATAAACTTCACAGCTGGACAGACATCACAATTTATTATTTTACATGGCTTAGTACGAAAGAATTTACAACTTATTACTTTATATTTACACATTTTATTAAATTTCATCATAGGTAGGACAAACATTCAAATTTATTCCATTTCATATCAGAAAGATTCCTCAGTCTGATCAATATAAAAAAAGTAAATTTTATTTATTTTATTTTTAAAGCTCTGGCATAAAGTTAATACATCAAAAATACATAAAGTAATACAAACATGCACCAAGAGCTTATTACAAACACACACAAAAATAATGAATAAACAAACAGACTGAAAGTAATGAGTAGCTACATTAATGATTACAAAGACATCAAGTGTTCACCTCAAATGAAACCTTCCCGTATAACATTGCTAGACCAACTCAGCATGATCCGAGTGAACACATCAAACACTCGTCGTACCAGTCCAAGAGGCGGAAGAAACGCCGGAAACTTCAAGTGATCCAGTCTGTTGGTCGACACAAAGTTGCCGGGAGGTTTTCTGAAGGAAGCAAAAAGGAAAAAATGAGTGCCATGTTTCCTCGTATGTCCTCGTACGCCTGCCCCGACAGGAGGCCTACGTTTTATTTGTGTCGAGGAAACAATAGCGCGCTGTGAGTACACTGTTGAGCCAGAGTTACAAAGTTGAGCCAAAGTTACAATGTTGAGCCAAAGTTACAAAGTTGAGCCAGAGTTACAATGTTGAGCCAAAGTTACAAAGGTCTCCTGTCGTAATGTTAGATGACATTCGGCTCTGCCAGGAGCTACAAAGACACAGCTTTCAATATTGGCCGTTGTTGTTGTTACTTTGATTGTCAAACCAAGAGATTGATCTGTTCAGTGTTAATGATATTAGGATTGGTTTGTCCTAAGATTTGCCTACCAAATTATCCAGCTTGGCTGATGATTTCATTTATCTGTGCAAATAAGTTTTTTCAACATGCCTCTGACATGTTTCTGTTAAATTTAGTTCATTTTTATCCAAAAAAGGTTGTTTGATTATATTGTACTGTTCAAGTTACACATTACTTTTTTTTTAAATGTTTTTTTTTAATATTAATATATTATTACACATTTAGTATGTTGTCAAATACAAATAATGAAATAGTATGTCATATAGGCCTACATTTAAATACAATGAGCATTGTTTTGTCTTATCACATTTTATCTGTCTTCTGTTGCAGTAGTGTTTTACTTAAGTGAACTAACCATCTTACTACTGTCTTACTTTTTAATGTCAAAGTTTGCATAGTTGATTGTCTGCTTATTTTACTGTCAAAGTCTGCTTAGACAATTATCTGCTTATTTTAGTGCCAGTCTGCTTATTCACTTAATAATTTTTTTAAATTTTAATAATCAGCTTGTTATAACTCAAATTAGCATAGGGATGCATTCATGTCATTTCATCAAATCAAGGGGATATAACTAAACTGTGTGGTGTTATGCAACTAAACTGTCTGGTGTTTTGAAACTAAACTGTCTGGTGTTAGGCAAATCAGCTGTCTGGTGTTATGAAACTAAACTGTCTGGTGTTATGAAACTAAACTGTCTGGTGTTATGAAACTAAACTGTCTTGTGTTATGAAACTAAACTGTCTGGTGTTATGAAACTAAATTGTCTGGTGTTATGAAACTAAACTGTCTGGTGTTATGAAACTAAACTGTCTAGTGTTATGAAACTAAACTGTCTGGTGTTATGAAACTAAACTGTCTGGTGTTATGAAACTAAACTGTCTGGTCTTATGAAAATGATATAAAATTCAAATCAATACATGCAAGCTATCCATCTGTAAACTAAGAACATATCTCTAATGTAAATATCTGTCTAGTCTATATCAGACGGTATTCATTTGCTTTGATAACCCAGAAGCTGAGGACGTTGATTTGATTTCACTGATACTTGCTGTTTTTCACAGAGTGGAAGGGCCCCTACTGGAGCTTGGATGGAAGAAAACCACGGACAGGCATGATGAGAGATACAGGCTGAAGTGGGTTGAAAACAGGTGTAGAATCAACTACATAGCATTCAGAGAAGGTAACACGTTGATAGATTCATCTGTGTGGTGTCAGCCTGTTGATGGAATAATAAAATATTTATCAACCTGTCTGTGCCTGGTTACAAATGTTTCTTTGGCATAATAGATCTCTGTCAGTTTATTCCTTCTAGTCCTCGTCACCAGTCCTAAGCGCCTCAACAGAACATTGGTAGAACGAAGTTTATAATAAAATGGTGAATTTCAGAATGAAAATGATGTTCCATCTTTTTAAGCTAATCTCTCCCTGGCATTCAACTCGTTAAGTCTGTGGGTGGGAATCCTAAGATCTATCATAAGGTTTGTCATCAGAAATCAAGTATTTTATTGAAAGCAAGAAACAATTTTTTTTTAAAAATTTAAAAATGCTTGAATGGATGCCAACTTTTGAGGTAGGTAATACAGTAGAGACTACATTCAAGCAGTGTGAAAGAAATATTCCAGATAAGGTTAGCCTTAAAACAACTGGTTGTCAAGTTCCTGGAGAAAAGTTACAATTTTTGTTTTTTTCCTTGGTTTTTTTTTTCTTCTTTTGTTTGCATAGAAAATAATTCAGCGGAAACATGTACTTTATTGCAATACTTTGAATATTTCTTTGTCAAGCTACAAATTAAAAATATTGTTTGTTATTTCAGGTGAACAATTGGTTAATCACATACCTAATTGCAAGCTTCTTACGAATAAACTAGGCCTACTGTGTAGTCTTCAAGAATATGAAAGAGTAACTCTGCTAACCAAAGGCAGACTACCCAGATTGAAGATGGCCGATTTTGTTCCAGAAACTTACAAGCTGGATGAGAGGATTGATAGGGATAGATTCCTGAGTGAATATAAAGGTAGGCTTATTGCCTGGGTTGATAGGGATAGATTATTGAGTGAATATAAAGGTGGGCTTATTGTGTGGGTTGATAGGGATAGATTCCTGAGTGAATATAAAGGTGGGCTTATTGTGTGGGTTGATAAGGATAGATTCCTGAGTGAATATAAAGGTGGGCTTATTGTGTGGATTGATAGGGGTAGATTCCTGAGTGAATATAAAGGTGGGCTTACTATGTGGGTCCATTTATTCTAGTGACCACTACATCTCACATACTTGTGTCCACTACATCTCACATAATAATAATTAGTGGTCTTTTATAGCACCGTACCCCAGCCTAGGGCTGGGCTCACCGCGCTGTGCATAAAAATATTATCAAAAAAGACTTAATCATGACATTAAAATAAAATACAATTATGAAATAAAGAACAGCATGAACCACCAGACTTTTACAAGGCAAACCATAGACGGCAGCCAACAAGATCATTTATACTGGTGTCCATTACATCTCACATACTGGTGTCCATTACATCTCACATACTTGTGTCAACTACATCTCACATACTTGTGTCCACTACATCTCACATACTCGTGGCCACTATATCTGACATACTGGTGTCCGCTACATCTCACATACTTGTGGCTACTACAGCTCACATACTGGTGTCCACTACATCTCACATATTGGTGTCCACTACATCTCACATACTTGTGTCTACTACATATCACAACAGAAGGAGAGACCTGGATCTGTAAACCGACAAGTCTGAATCAGGGAAAGGGCATATTCTTACTCCGATCTCGGGAAGAGATTAATCAGTTGTTGACAGAGAGGGAGGCAAAATCTTCTTGGACAAGGCAGGTACAGATGAGAATAGTGCAGAGGTGAGTTAACATTAGGAAAGTGTTCGTTACAAGGATGATTGCATTTGTTAGCATCATTGGTGAGTGATTTTATGATCATTTGACATGACCTATTGGAACAGTTGTTATGAATTGTATGATATGAACTATTGGAACAGTTGATATGAATTGTATGACATGACCTATTGGAACAGTTGATATGAATTGTATAACCAGACCTATTGGAACAGTTTATTTAAATTGTATGACATGACCTATTGGAACAGTTGATATGAACTATTGGAACAGTTGATATGAATTGTATGACATGACCTATTGGAACAGTTGATATGAATTGTATGACATGACCTATTGGAACAGTTGATATGAATTGTATGACATGACCTATTGGAACAGTTGATATAAATTGTATAACCAGACCTATTGGAACAGTTTATTTAAATTGTATGACATGACCTATTGGAACAGTTGATATGAATTGTATGACATGACCTATTGGAACAGTTGTTATGAATTGTATGATATGAACTATTGGAACAGTTGATATGAATTGTATGACATGACCTATTGGAACAGTTGATATGAATTGTATGACATGACCTATTGGAACAGTTGATATAAATTGTATAACCAGACCTATTGGAACTGTTTATTTAAATTGTATGACATACCTATTGGAACAGTTGATATGAATTGTATAACAAAACCTATTGGAACAGTTGATATGAATTGTATGACATGACCTATTGGAACAGTTGATATGAATTGTTTTACATGACCTATTGGAACAGTTGATAATAATTGTATGACATGAACTATTGGAACAGTTGATATGAATTGTATGACATGACCTATTGGAACAGTTGATTTAAATTGTATGACATGACCTATTGAAAGAGTCTGTATGAACTACATGACATATTTGGAGATTTGACATGACCTTTCCAGGACCTGTTTAACCAGCTTTAAGCATACTTCACGTAACTTTAACTGTCTTTATTGTCGCATGACCATATCCACAGATATATCCACAATCCTCTGCTAATAGAGGGACGCAAGTTTGACATTAGAGCCTATATGTTTATAGCGAGCACCGTGCCATTTTTGGTGCTGTTCCACAACGGTTATGTCAGACTGTCATGTCAGAAGTACAGTCAGGATGACACAAACTTAACTACCCATCTTACCAACCAGGTAAACATCACCTGTCTGTCCCTTTACCAACCAGGTAAACATCACCTGTCTGTCCCTTTACCAACCAGGTAAACATCACCTGTCTGTCCCTTTACCAACCAGGTAAACATCACCTGTGTATCCATTCATTAAACACATCACCCTTATTGCCACTTACCTACAAAGTAAACATTATGTATATTTTCACTTACCAACTAGGTAACCATCTCTTTAATTATCACATATCCAAGCCTAAAGTAAATGTTTGTTGTGTGTTGTAACACCTCCCCCCCCCCCCCCCTACCAACTAGGTAACCATCTCTTTAATTATCACATATCCAAGCCTAAAGTAAATTTTTGTTGTGTGTTGTAACACCTCCCCCCCCCCCCAAGCCTAAAGTTAATGCTTGCTGTGTGTTGTAACACACCCCAAACCTAAAGTAACTGTTTGTTCTTGTGTGTTCCAGTTTGTGCAGAAAAAAGACCCAACTTACAAAGACAACAAGGAAGACACAGCTTGGACCATGGAGAAGCTCAATGAGTACATCAACCAGACCATTGGCAAGGAGAAAAATATGGACAAGGATTGGGTGTTTGGAGGGCTAACGGTTAGTCGGTTACCTTGGCCTTGTAGGTTACCTTGGCCTTGTAGGTTACCTTGGCCTTGTAGGTTACCTTGGCCTTGTAGGTTACCTTGGCCTTGTAGGTTTTAGTCATTAATACCATTTATGGATGAGTTACAACCATAAATGGATTAATTAGTACCATAAGTGGATTAGTCACTACCATAAATGGATTAGTCGCTACCATAAATGGATTAGTCACTACCATAATAGAATAGACAACACCATAAATGGATTAGTCACTACCATAAATGGATTCATCAGCACCATAAATGGATCAGTCACTACCATAAATGGATTAGTCACTGCCATAAATGGATTAATCAGTACCATAAATAGATAAGTCCCTTCAATACAAGAATTAGTCACTTGTCTCTTTTAGTTCAGTTCTTAACTTCTCCCAAAAAAGAATTGATTATAATGAGCTATAATCTGACAGTTTTTGCAATGTAAATGTCCATCGTACTAACTCAAGATGGTGTCCTCTTATTCGGTAGTCCCATTAAACTCAAGATGGTGTCCTCTTATTTGGTAGTCCCATTAAACTCAAGATGGTGTCCTCTTATTTGGTAGTCCCATTAAACTCAAGATGGTGTCCTCTTATTTGGTTGTCCAATTAAACTCAATATTGTGTCCTATTATTTGGTAGTCCCATTAAACTCAAGATGCTGTCCTATTATTTGGTAGTCCCATTAAACTCAAAATGCTGTCCTCTTATTTTGGTAGTCCCATTAAACTCAAGATTGTGTCCTCCTATTTGCTAGTCCCATTAAACTCCAGATCCTGTCCTATTATTTGGTAATACAATATGGACTTGCAACTCCCCCCTCCCCCCTGCCTGTCCCAGGTCAAGATAAAGGAGGAGAGTGTGGGCATTAGGTTAAGGCAGGGGTCACCAAACTGTTTTCACTGCTGGCTGTATAACGGACAAAATGGTGGAGACGCAGACCGTATGGACAACCCTCCCCCCACCCCCATATATATATATATAAATAATCCCCTAAAGTACTTCTTGAAACAATAGCAAAACAAAATGATAGATCAGTCGGATGATGCATTGTTGTACTACTTGGTACACTTCATCAGCCTTGAAAGTGCTGCAACTGAACCACTACAATTGCCAAAACTAGAACCCAGTAGGAGTAACGGAAGCAAATCTGAATTCAATAGATGTGGTCATCTGGTCAGGACAACAGCCACCAGCAATAAGTTGCAATAGAAGAAAGACATCCACACAGTGGGATGCTGTGAACAATCTTCAGACTGCTAGAAGATGTCAGATGGCTCTGTTGACTGCCAGTACTCCGAGGACAGCAATAAAAATGGAAAGCTTAGGGAAAAGAAATTCGTGGAAAACTCTAAAGAGACTTGGAACGGAATATTAGAGGAGAATCAGTGGCTATGGGCATGACATTAACAAATATTTCCTTTACAAAGTGCTAAGCTTACTCTGTACTTAGCTCAACCCAAGTGACCCCATTTTTCTGAGAAATATTTGTTTATAAATGTATTCATCCATGTGATGTCTGTTTACTTGACAGAAACAAATGCAACGGATCACCTTACACTGTTTCAACAGTGTCAAACACAAGCTGCAGTGTAAGATTGGATACTTTGACCTTTATGGCATGGATTTTATGGTGGACTCAGATCTCAAGGTCAGGCAGTAGTTCTTGCTTTGTTTTAGTCATTGCATTTAAATAAAACATGTGCTTTCTTTGATTTATTTTCCAATTTTAAAAATGGTTTTTATTGTGGCTTATATCTCATTGCAAAAATGATACATTTCAAATTAGCATGATCGTCAGTAGATTTTGTGTATGGCAAGCCCATTTTCCATGTCAAAGTGAAGCATAGTAATTTAATGTAGTAATCCCACAATGTAAATCTGGTAGTCTGTTAAGGCCAAGAGTTGACCAACACATCAAGAATTAGGAGCTTAGTGCAGTGCAGCCATTTCACCAGGGCCACGCTTTTAGTAGCAATGAAATAACACAAACCTATCTTATACAGAAGTAGAATGATCTGACTTCGTTCTTATACAGTAGTGTATTGTCTAGCTTCATTCTTAGACAGTAGTGTATTGTCTAGCTTCATTCTTATACAAAAGTACCATGTCTAGCTTCATTCTTATACAGTAGTACCATGTCTAACTTCATACTTATACATTAATACCATGTTTACCTTAATTCTTATACAATAGTATCATGACTAGCATCTCAATTTGAGATTCCCTTACAATCTTACTTCCATTTATTTCTCTCAGGTCTGGCTTATTGAAATAAATGCCAATCCGGCCCTTTGGACCAACTGCCAAGCATTGAAAGAAGCCATTCCTCGTGTTGTGAGAGATGCATTGTGTATGTCAAACTTTTCCTATTATGTCATAATATCCTTGCATGTCTTAAATTCTCAGCAAAATACCATATTCCATAGTGGCACCCTTTTTCTGTGAGTGATCTGTTGCTTCTTATCTTAAGCCATTGAAAGTGACTCACGCAAGACTCTAATATTAGAGTGTAATAGGTGTAGCACTTCGTTCAGGTTGAAGCAATAATAAGTATAACGGGGGGGGGGGGGGGGGGGGGGGGGGGGGCACCTGATAGAAGATATATAAAAAAAACAACCTCTATTTACTATAAGGTAAATTAAAAACTTTGTTTATGTACAAAACCCTCTATTTACTACTAGATTAAATGACCCAATGTTATCGGGATAATAATGGTAGGTCCTTTGCAATAATTATTAACTGCTATTGCAAAAGCTCAATTCATAACTTTTAAAGTGTAATGATATTTACGTTTCTAACATCATTAAGTTTTGAGAAGTGTTTATCTGCTATGTATGATGCGCGTACCCTAAACCCTTTCACGCTCCTAAACTACTTTTCCCCCTCTAAACATGACCTTCAATTACCCAGTCTAAATTATCACTAATTATATCACTTTTGTGACTAAAGGAGTTAATTGAGGGACAATTACTAAACTAAACAAATACTTTAGATTTACCCCTTTTCGTGGCCTTGAATTGCAACTTTTTTCTCTCAAAATTTGTTAAAAACCTTATCTTAAATTTTCAACAAAAACTCTACACATGATATAAATATATTTTGTATTACAGGAATTCGATATATATTGATATCTTCATCAAAAATTTAAACACATTTTTGCCTTTTTTTTAAATTATACATTATCAGAAAGTCGTAAAACAAAGAATTCTTTTATCTAAGAAGAATCTCGCAACTGTTTTTCACACCCATATAAGATTTCACTGTCTTTTTAAAAAATTAAATTGTAATTTCATAAAAATACACACCTCTTTACTTTTTTGCAAAGTAAAAACAAAAATATATTTCCATTTTTTTAAAAAGAATATTAACCCATTTTCATTTGTCATAATTTAATTTTCAAGTGTATAAAATGATTCGGTTTTGATATTCATGAATATACTTATATAAATTTATCCAAGATTTGTTAATGCCATTGATTTTCTTAATTGGTAAACTTATTTTTATTTGTAAAAAGAGAATTTAAAATCTCTTTTTTCACAATTTTAATACCATAGGATTTAAATATATTGTCATCCATGTAAAAATGTACACATCCTTTTTCCTATCTCCAATATGTATGTACCCAAGAAGGTTAATTATTAATCAAATTAATTCCTTTATTTTGGGACGTATCTTGTATTGCCTTGGGCAAAATGAACATACCAATATTTGTAAAAAGAGAATGCAACATCTTATTTTTTTCACTAATGTAATACCATAGGAGTTAACTCTGTTGTCATCCACGTAAGAATTTACACATCTTATTTCCTACCTGCGACATGTATTTACCCAAGAAAATTAATTATTTATCAAATTCATTCCCTTATTTTGAGACTTATCTTGTGGTGCCTTGGACAAAATGAACATACCCAAATTTGTAAAAAGAGAATGTAGCATCTCTTTTTTCACAAATGTAATACCATAGGATTTAAATATATATTGTCATCCACGTACAAATGTACACATCCTATTTCCTACCTCTGATATGAATGTAACAAGAAGGTTAATTATTTATCAAATTCATTCCTTTATTTTGAGATGTATCTTGTGCTGCCTGGGGCAAAGTGACCAACCCCTCCCACACCCAGATTTAATTCAATTTAGAAAATCTTGCACTGGATTGTAGTCCCTTCCATACCCAAACTAACATATTTTGCATTTCATATGGTTCTTTCTTATTTGTATGAGGTATAAGTGGATTAGTGAATGTTATTTAGCTATGGATTTGAGATGCACTGATTGACTTAAAAAGCATTTTCTTATTAGAATTATATTTAAAGGTTAGTTTTTATTACGTTATAAATTTAATAAAAGTATAGTTTTGGAATTTAAAAAATGGCATAACGTTTTGAATGTAAAAAATATACAAAGGAAAAATGTGTGTGTGTTTTATTAACTATTTAAAAAGCTATAAAAAAATTGTATTTATTAATTTACTTTTAAGAAGGAAAAATACATTATCAGTTTTGTCATGGGCGGTTATTAAATTTAAAGAAACCTAAGAGTTTTGGCAAAATAGGCTATTCCCTGCTATGACACATTTGCTGATTATTTAGAACAAATTAATCTTAATTTTATTTAGCAATTTTAATAACGCACTAAAAGACGCACTAAAAACGACCGATGCTTGGGTTTTCCCGATAAATGTGATTATGGTGTAATTCTTTGATCATGATTTTTATTTTTTTTATAACTTTCAAACACATATAAAAGGCTTAAAATATTTTCTTAGTTGATACTTTAAATGTACTTGTAATTTATAATAACATAACGTTAACTTTTAATAAAATAAAAGCGGATTTAAAATATTTTTGCACATTTAAATTTATTCGATTTCTGAAAAATAATAGAGAATAACTATGATTGTTTTTAAGAATCTGAATGTACTTAAATCAAATAGGTTCTTTGGAGTTACGTCAGTATAGCTCATTCTTATATATATATAAGGTAATTTACTATAAGGTAAATTTTACACTGTGTTTATATACAAAATCCTCTATTTTACTATAAGGTAAATTAAACACTTTGTTTATGTACAGAAACCTCTATTTACAATAATGTAACTTGTACACTGTGTTTATGTACAAACCCCTCTGTTAGCTACCAAGTAACAACTCGCCCACTGTTTATGCAAGTCTGTACTTACTATTGGGTAACTCATATACAGTGTTTGTTTGTTTTTTTTCATTTAATTTCAGACTTGGCCATTGAATGTTTTGACAAAAGCCGTAAAGGTCAAGCGCTCCTTCCCCTCCATTCACTCGGAGGTTACAATGTCCTCTACTGTGGTTCCAATGTTGCCAACGGTCAGCGCCAAATTCGCAGCGTCTCGCCATTTAAGGATTCTGTGGATATGAGTCGGCCCACAGGTGCAGCACAAATGCTTAAGTTCACTCAAGATACCCATCGAATTCATATCAAACTTCTCATCACATGTACCTGGGCCGTGATCGTTGTACCATTTGCATGTTACCTGGTCTTGGCAGCTTTTAAATTAAATTAGTACTAGTATTCCTAGCTTGCTAGAGTCTCATGGTGAGCCAACTAGATTCCTAGCATGCTTGAGTCTCATTGTGAGCCAGCTAGATTCCTAGCATGCTAGAGTCTCATTGTGAGCCAGCTAGATTCCTAGCATGCTAGAGTCTCATTGTGAGCCAGCTAGATTCCTAGCATACTAGAGTCTCAATGTGAGCCAACTAGATTCCTAGCATGCTAGAGTCTCATTGTGAGCCAGCTAGATTCCTAGCATGCTAGAGTCTCATGGTGAGCCAACTAGATTCCTAGCATGCTAGAGTCTCATTGTGAGCCAACTAGTTCTAGTCAAGCAGGAACAAATAATATAATTAATTTAGAGGTGATAATATAGTGAAATGTTGACATATGTTGGACAAAACTTGGACCAGAAATGAAGAATTGCTAGACCTCCTGCAAGCTGTGTCATATTTTGCTGACATAATCATATTTTAAAACACGACATCTGGCATTTAAAACATGGCATTTACCCCCTCCCCAACAAAATGAGTGTTGATAGTTTTGTGCTCATGGTTTTATTGTAGGACGACACAAAGACATGTACAAGAAACACCACCAGGATTGTGGGTCAGTATCACCTGCCTAGACATTACATGCCCCAAAGATAGAGGTAAAGATCCATGCCCTGTCCTCGACTCAGTGTGGTAACTCATACAGCCGCCGTCTATAGCGTAGTAGATTTCAGGTGGGTCTCTCCAGGACGTCTCATGCTCCCCGGAACGCTCCAAGTCCATATGTGTGTTGTCAGATGACCCGTTCTAAATGTATCGTAACTTGTCACACATGTCATTAATCAAACATGACACACCACAAAAAAAAAAAATTATTATGAGGATGTTTCAAGACAGAAAATGAACAACATAACACCACTAATCCACTACCACTAATCCACTGTTGGACATTTAAATCCAAATAATTATCTACTACGGATGAATACTAAGACTTGTATGATATCACACTGTCATAATAAAACTTGTATGGTATCACTTAAATGTAATTGAATGTTTGTGGAGTTGAAATGTTTTTAAAAGGCATGGAAACTAATATGAGACAAGTTCCTTACGTCAGTGAGAAAGATTTGTTCACTTTGAGCTGTCCATGTGTCTGCAGGTTTGCTTCTTATGAAATGCATTGAATCTTGAACAAATAGCATTCAAAGGCTAAATAATTGCATTCAGTGGTGGGCAAAGTAAGGGCATTCAGTGGTGGGCAAAGGAAGGGCATTCAGTGGTGGGAAAAGGAAGGGCATTCAATGGTGGGCAAAGGAAGGGCATTCAATGGCTAAATTCTTGCATTTATTGGTGGGAAAAGTAAGGGCATTCAGTGGTGGGCAAAGGAAGGGCATTAAGTGGTGGGAAAAGTAAGGGAATTCAGTGGTGAGCAAAGTAGGGCATTCAATTGCTAAATTCTTGCATTCATTGGTGGGAAAAGTAAGGGCATTCAGTGGTGGGGAAAAGTAAGGGCATTCAGTGGCGGGAAAAGTAAGGGCATTCAATGTTGGGAAAAGGAAGGGCATTCAATGGTGGGCAAAGGAAGGGCATTCAATGGCTAAATTCTTGCATTTATTGGTGGGAAAAGTAAGGGCATTCAGTGGTGGGAAAAGTAGGGGTATTCAATGGTGGGGAAAGTAAGGGCATTCAGTTGCGGGGAAAAGTAAGGGCATTTAGTGGTGGGAAAATTAATGACATTCAGTTGTGAGCAAAGTAAGGGCATTCAGTGGTGAGAAAATTAGTGACATTCAGTTGTGGGCAAAGTAAGGGCATTCAGTTGTGGGAAAAGTAAGGGCATTCAGTTGTGGGAAAAGTAAGGGCATTCAGTGTCAAGATATAAGGAATATCTGTGTTTGTCTTATGTGGGATGGTCTACCACCACTGATTGATCTCTGTTTTATTTGTATTTGATGTCCAATAGATTAGAAGTAATGAGAAGGCTTTTTTAATCTTCAACAAATGTGCTTCTCATTTCAACTTAGTTTGTAAACAAACACTTGAGTTGTTGACAGCTGAGGTTTCGCTTTATTTTTCTAGTGCATGTAGATACGTCAATAATTTAGATTACTTTAAAAAGAGTGCATGTCCATTTACAACTTATTTTTTTAATGTATCTTGATAGAAACGAAGCTAATATCCGAAACAATTTTTCTCCTGACGTCCCTTGATAAGTTATGTCATTTGAGTATGGTGTACATTTCTTCCTGCATGACTACTAAACTGTCATTTTTTTAGCTCCTAACACTTCACCATTTTCAAAGTTTTAACTCCTGCATATCTTAGGTTTTTGTTTTGCTTTCGTAGTTTTTGAACATCTGAATGGTTCAATTGAAACTTGATGCAAATGTTCCTAGACCCTGCAAGTTAATGAGATAACGTTTTATTGGTGAGATCAAAACAAGTGTCCTACATTTGGACCTGGTAAAATGATGTGTTCTGTCCGACCAATGTTTTAGACAGGAGGGTGAACACGTCGCCCTCGGCAGGGACATCAGCTTAACAACTTTTCGGATATTAGCCAAATTCTATCCCAGAATGCATCATTTTACTTGTATGCTAGATGGGTATTTTTTTCATTTTTTGTCATTTTGTCCTCATCTTGGGACAATATTGATCACAGGAGAATTTTAGAACAACAAACGTAATCTTTTTTTACTAGTATACCAAGAAAACACATCAAAATTACGAGATGTTTAAGAACCTAGAACATCCTAGAGTGAATAGAGCTGAGGACAGAATGACACAGAAAGTAGTTGGATCTATTGAAATTATCTGAGAATAGTTGGGGTTTTCCCTCTTACTTTTGAATTAGACAAATGGAATTATTGATGTGTTTCCATGTGATGAACATAAAGAACAAAATTGATCAATAAAAATGTCCAGTTTTACTCCACAAAAAAGGTTGTCTAACTTGCAGGGTTTTTTCCTCCTGTTTTGTTATTTTGAAAATTTATTTTTAGTTATCTCCACTTGAGTCGAGAATTTGAACTCAATGATGAGTGTGCGGGTGGGTGTGATAACTTATTTCAACTGTTGCTCAATGTTAATGTTAACCAGAACGTATTGATGATGTAATCATAAATTATGTTGATTATCTACCATCCCTCACCCCCACACACTCATTTATATTTTAATACATTTTGCTGGATTATTTTTTTCCCTTTAAAACCACGTTAATTTACATCCTTGAAATATTTTATCAGATTCTACTGTTGTTTTTTTTTTACATTGATTCAAAGATTCTCTTGAGATTGTTAGTTGTTCCATCGAGTATTGCCTTGTTTTGACCAGTGTTCCATGCAAATGGTCAGCTCGTTTCATTGATATTTTCCCCCATGACCAGTGGCGTACCCAGGGGGCTGCCAACGGGAGCCCACCCAGGGGCAGCACTTTTTGGGTTTTCACGTAACATTATAGACATGGTCCTTGTGTGTGTGTGTGTGAGAGTGTTAGGGAGGCACACTTTGGAGAGTTCAGCATTTGGTCAAGGTACGCCACTGCCCATGACCTGTTTGTATGGCTTCACATTGTTGTTTGGTTATGCAGGGGTTTCTGACTGCCCCAATTCAACTTGATCATCAACTCACTCTAATGCACATACTGGGATACACATTTTAATTCAAAAAAATTGTATTATCTTTGAAATCTTATGGGACATTGTGGATGAGCGTAACAGTGACAATGTGGGTGAGGGTAATAGTGACAGTGAGAGTAATAGGGACTATGTGGGTGAGGGTAATGGGACAATGTGGGTGAGGGTAATAGGGTCAATGTGGGTGAGGGTTATAGTGACAATGTGGGTGAGGGTTATAGGGACAATGTGGGTGAGGGTAATAGTGACAGTGAGAGTAATAGGGACTATGTGGGTGAGGGTAATGGGACAATGTGGGTGAGGGTAATAGGGACAATGTGGGTGAGGGTAATAGTGACAGTGAGGGTAATGGGACAATGTGTGTGAGGGTAATGGGACAATGTGGGTGAGGGTAATAGTGACAATGTGGGTGAGGGTTATAGTGACAATGTGGGTGAGGGTAATACATTGATACATTTAAAGGTGTCATTCTAGGTCATTAAAAAAAAAATTATAAAATCAGTTTTGCCTCAATATGCACAGTCACTTATTGCAAGGCTAGGTCATTACAATTAAGTTCAGAATGCACTGCGCCAATGCTTGATTGCTAATGGCAAATTCATTCAATATTTAGGAAGTGTGTTTTTATTTTTTTTAATGTATAGCTTTCTACAAATTGCTCTTTTTATTCTAATCAGACTTTAAGGAAAAAGGGCTTAAAAGCATGACATTACTTTTTTCTGAATAAATTAATAGGTTATATTGACAATTAAGGCTTGGTTGAAAACAGCAAATGCGTTTTTACTTTTGTTATATCATTGCTTTTATAGCAAGAATTTTCAAATTTGTGTAAGCCTGCACTGTCAGTTTTAAAACAAAATGGATCGGTTGAATTCAATGATATCAATATTATTACCCATTAGGTACTGTTTTTTCATTGAATTTGAAGGAATGTATTTGAAGGAAGACTGAGATACCTTAAAGGATTATTTCATTTAGGTTATATCAGATTTAAAATTAAAGTTTGAGACAATTAGTTCTGGTACCTAATAGACCAGAGTTCACAAAATGGGGCTCATTAGGACAATTTCAATGAATTAATGTCAGTGTATTAATAAATTAATGTATTACCCTAAATTAAATTTAAATTTACATGTCACAGGAAAAATTTTATTCAGCCACTGTTTGGCTACCAGTTTGAGAGCCCTGGTGCACACTTACTATTTGTATAAATTAAAATGATGAATTGAATTTTAAGATTTCATTTTTCATATCAATATTTAGAGATAAAATGTTAATAAAAGGACATCTTGCTGTTTCCCTTTATAATATTGATTTCTCTTTGGCCACCATCTTCCAGGAACATCACCACCACAGAATCAAAGGCGTCATTCTCCTCCCCGTGTTATATCAAAGACCAACATCAGTGGCAGCAGCCAGTCCAGCCAAGGGCTAGTATCACCACCAGGTAGATGAGTATTTTTTATATCCTTTGACTTGAGCCATTTGCCAATAATAATGAGTTCTAATCTACAGATATCATCTGGTGTAATGATCACCAACCTGCTGCTCTTTGGTGGCATACATGAGGCTCATTACATAAGTCAGAGTCTAGAACATTCGGCACAAAAATATATTTTTTTAGTGGATATCATTAATGATTAGAATAATAATATTTTAAAACTCTTTAAACAAGACTTACTTTCAAAAATGAATTTAAATGTACTAAATAGTAGAAAATAATTTAAAATTTCTTAAAATGCACAAAGAAAGTAAAGCCAAGGATTCAAATTAAATCTATAAGAAATTTAAATGTTTTACTTTTATTTATTTTTAAAATTATCTTGTTGCACACATTTTCTGTGCCTGCTGGTAAAGCATAATATTATAGAAAATTGCTTTGCTTGCGTAACATGTAACTTTAAAAAAAATAAACTTGGGTAATGCAGCATATTCCATTTTATGTTTAAAGTGAAACTTTAAAATTTAATATTAGTTGTAATTTTTTTTTTTTTTAACATTCTTAGTATCAAGTTCAAAATTGGAAAAAAAGCCTAGCAGTGTCTTGCCAACAATCAACATAGGAGCTAATGTTAATATGACCAGGCCTGGTCCTACTGGTGGTTACAGTTATTCAAAGAAACAGCAGACGTATGAGCCACAGCAGCAGATTTCAAGAGTTTCTATGTCAGGAAGCGCTTCAGGAGAGGACCACAAACTTCGCATGACTCAGGCAGACTCGGGTAGCAGAAGATCAAAGGAGAACAGAGGGCATTGACTTGTCTAGGGTTTTAACTGTGGGAATAGACATGTCTAGGTTTTTATAACATGCAATTGACATGTCTGGGTTTATATAGCAGAAGGAGTGGAAATGTCATTGTTTTTTATTACAGAAGGAATGGAAATGTCTTTGTTTTTATAACAGAAAGAATGGAATTTCAAGGTTTTTGTAACAGAAGAAATCGACATGTATAGGTTTATAGATGTCTTCCTGACCTGGCTATCCTAACCTCAAATTTGAACCATCAGCACGGCTATCTGTTAGACTTCCACAGCTGTGTTTGCCAGGTGGCTCTGCATCGGATCAGTGTCATGTATCTGAACTCTGTTCTATTTCCATCAAGGGTTCAAGAAATGTTTGTGGTATTGGAGTGTATCCCTGGATGCCATCTCTTGGGTGCTGGTTGTACATCTTCTCTGAACTTTATTGAACTGGGGATGGCAAAATGGCAAAGATGCAGGAGGATTTACAAACAGTTGTATCAAATGTAATGCTACATTGAGATGCTACAAGGTCAAACTGGAAGTGACTTGTGTTCATCGATGAAGCTCACTGCAGGCATGTTTCAGTGGTCATGTAGCTAAGGAACCAATGCAACCATTTATTTACACTGAGATTTTTTTTTGTCTGCATTTTTGTAAATGGAAGTAATATATATTATTAAAAGTATTTTTAGGTTCAAAAGTTTAAGATGATTCAACCTTTTATTAATTTAAGACTACTTGATTTATCAATATTTTAGGATCCATGTTTTAGGATTTTTTAATATAATATAATAATATTTATGATAATTTATTTTTAATGATTTATATTCAATGTTATCTTAAATATTTTCATTTTAAAATTTTTCATTTTTATAATTTTTTTTTTTTCACTGAAAGTCCTATTTCATTTAGTGCAACATCTGAAAATCTTATTTGAATTGCTTAGAAGTTTTGAAGTCAGTGAGAAGCATTCAATAACTGGGATGAAGTCTTGCATCCTAGTCATTTGTTAGCCCTATATATGGAGTTGGTACAGATATCTACATGCTGTTGATCCAGTTATCTTGCATTTCTCTTAATGTCTGACTATCAACAGGAAAAGTGATTTGTAGCCTACATAATCATTACAGTCAACACATCAGTTGTGCTCTCTAACAGAAGATCAGGTTAGATGGCTGAAAAAGTTGTCTATAAGTGTTGGCCACATTCCATGATATTGTGTTTCATGTTTGTACAGAAAATGCACTTGTCGGCTTTGCTCTTCTTTGTTGTACAAGAACTGTGACCATTAAAAGAAAGAAATAGGAACAGTAGGAGGTGAACCTTCATTTGAACTTACAACTTGACTGTCCGAAGAGAATTTGAGAAAAGTCTATCTAAACTACCGAAAATATAGTATGGTGTACATAGATATTAGCCCATTTGGTCTCATCTTATTGAGTGGGATAAATCTTTAGAGCTTTTAAAAAAAAAAAAAAAAAGAATAAATATTGAATCAATTTTAAGTAACTCATTTTTCTCTACAAGTTGTAGTTGTTTGTTTCATAGGAAGGTTCAGCTATTGCACCACATCTTTGACCAAAAAATGTGCCCAACCTCTACTCTGAACACAACTGCTGCAGAGCTCTATGTTCTGTGGGCAGCCAGACTTTACAGCTCAGGATTTCTTGGGCTTGCTGCTGCACCTGAGCTCTTCTGTGTGTTCAGTGTTGGAGATTGGCCGTGGTCAAAGGAACGGTGTCTTCCATTCAAGCTCACCACACATTCCCTTAATCACTAGGAATAGCCTTCGTGACCCTCCCTGGGCTTGTGATCGATGCCTGTCTCCAACAACACCTTCATGTGGTGATTCTCTGACATCCTGCCTGGAAGTACAGGCAATGAAAGTATACTTTATATTGTATAACCATTTTTTGATAGATAAATATATTTATATACACATATTCAGATACGTGTGTCTATTTATAGAAGCATACTGCTGTTGTCCACAGGGCCTTTAAATGTTTCATTTACCACTATTTCATCTAAATGGGGCAAATCTAATGTTTGATAGGGCACAATCAATGTTACCCCTTTTTTTTTTTAAAGTTGTATTCTCGCAATGAAGATAATTTTGATATTTAAACTTTTTTTTTTAAAATGCATTAAAACAGAAGTATAAAACCAATATTGCATAAACTATTGAAAGTAATATTTTAGTTTGTATTACCCGTTACCTTGATTTACACCATTGCATTTGGAATGTTCCGATTTAGGACACGTTCTGACATGTTACCACTGTTTGATTCGAATGTTTCTTGGTTACACTTAGTTAAAGCTATTGCTAAAAGCAATCAGTTCTTCTGATCCCTGCCTTTAACATTACCGTACTTACCCACCCCCTGGACCAAATAACTAGTAAACTTCCCAAAACTATATACAAACATGTTTTAAATAGCAAAAAAACAACATTATTAACAAACTATTATTTAATTAGTGTTTGAAATTACCGGTAGTTGGGGTTTTTTCATTGCAAGTAATTTTTGCATCCTGCCTGGATTGGTTGTGGATCCCAAGGAGTAAGTGTCTGTGTCATCTCAATGTCACACCGTAAAATAGCTGTGACGGTGTTTGTCATTAAGTCTGGTTCTATCAGTCGTAGCTTAGATCTTTGCTGTGAGCCAAGAGCTGATTTTTTTTTTTTTTTTACAACAGAGAAGACAAAAACATAGTTTCAGATGATAGATAATGTTAAGATGATAGATAATTTAAGATAATAGATAATGTTGAGATGATTGATAATGTTGAGGTATCATGGGTTAGAATATTTTATAGAGCTTAAAAGATAACTGGTAGACATTGCATTTCTTGTTCATGTTACGACAGTCTTAAAGTTACCTCAGATACTTAGCTGTCACTATTCATAAAATATTTCTGCAATAGCTCTGTTTTTAGTTTATAACTAATTCACTTAACCACTCCTGGAATGACCAAAGTTCATTTTTAATAAACCAATAGGATTTCAGCTTTATATAAATCAACAAAACAATTCAAAACCAGTTAAAATAATGGTAAAACTCAAAACCAAGTGCAAAGTAGGAGCCATGTGACTTGGTGTGCGCCATGTGACTTGTTGAGGGTTACACTGACCTAGACACCACTTGTTTTAATTGATAAATGCTCTAACTTCCTTCACTTCTCTTTTGTTCCAAGCAGAAAATGACTTGAATCCAGCACCAACTTATGGGAAACTTGGATTTTTTTTAATGACATGTTGAAATGATGTTGATACCTGGACTGTGATATGGATATGTTGTAACTCAATCCTATATTAAGCAACCACATTGAACCTATCTCTAAGGTCTGTGATATTCCAATAGCTTATCATTTTTATTTTTGCATGGTCTGAGCAGCGCCCTCTTCCCCCCTCCCCCTGAACCTTTTTGCACTATCTGCCTTGCCATTATTTTTATTGCATGCCAATCATTCCCAATAACTTTCTAGATGTAAGCACTAAAGATTTATTGTGCTAAGTAAAAGTACCATTTTTGTGTTATTAGCCATCTTTAGATAACAGTCTCAGTTATTGTAGTCTCTTGGTTGATTTTTTTTTTATAAAACCAAGTACTTTGAATTGCTGTGTGGTATTTGTTGTTTTTTTGTTGTTTTTTTTTTGGTTGTTTTTTTTTTTTTATTTTTTTGAATTGCTGTGTGGTATTTGTTGTTTTTTTGTTGTTTTTTTTTTGGTTGTTTTTTTTTTTTAATTACTTTTCTGACATCTTTAATTTGCATTTGATGTTTTACATTAGTTTTTGACAAATTTATTTATTTACCGTCCAAATGTTTTCTTTCAATAAATTGTTTGACTTGCCGTCCCTGGTCATCGTGCCAGTCGTATTACTTCAAGTATTCAATAAAGTTGCTTTATCAGCAGTATATATTTTGTGTATAATAAATTTATTCCAGCATCGCCTGATGTAATAAATGTTAGCTCATCATTGCTGGGTGTCAGTTTTAAAATGTGTCATCCACAAACCCAGTGAGAGAGTTCACTCTACCAGGCAGCGGATGAATTCATGAATGAAATAATGGAATATGTTGACCTAGATACTGTATGAAATGATGACTTAACACAAGTGATTAAATATAGAATTTAGTTTTATTCTCAGAAAATTATATGGTAAATGCCAATAGAAGAAAGAAGCAGTTTTGAGATATCATTAGGTAAAGAGTATACAAGAGTACAAAAGAATTTGTAAAAGTTGATATACAATCAAATATAACTGTGGAGGTAATCACAATGAGATATCGGAAGCTATTAAAAAAAAAAGCTTCTAGTATGTTCTTTAGAAAAAGTACAATTTTTTGGTGGGGGGAGGGGTGTTAGAGTTCAAACAATTTATTACTACTATCACCACCAATTGATAAATCTTTCAATACGCAACACATTAAAGAAACACTTGATTTTAAAATGGTCTTACAAATGCCTGTCCAAACTGAAATAAAAAATTATTGAAAAATATTTAAATAATTGATGTATTGACAATTTTCCCAGGGAATAGCTAGTTTACTTTGGACAAGTTAACATGGAATGTTGAAGATGGAATAAACTTTAGTATGGTCAAGTGTTTGGATGTTTTTATATTGATCAAAAAGTTTGATCATGTTTACTGATGAACAAAATGTTCAGAAGCAAAGTTTAGTATATACAATATATAAATCCAGGCTGGGGAACTTTATTTCATGTAATGTAGCAAATAGACCACTCACTTTTTTTATATTGGGAGTAAATTATTCCCCACCCCCTTTCAGTCCGACAACTTAATTTATTACATTACATACTGTCAAATCTTTTCCTTTTTTTTTTCTTTTTTTGTTTTAAACAATTCCAAATGTTGAAGGAAAAACTGTTTTTGCCTGTCAGTTATTTTTAAATAAAAGTGAACTAATATTTAATACTCATTACTTTACAACTCATTTGACGCAGCTGTCCCTGATCATTTGAGGAATGGTTGCGCTGATGACAGACAAAAACTCATTTTAGCTAATTCTACAGTTCCTATAATATTGTGACTTAGGATTTTAAATTGCATTTATGATCTGACGGCATATGACTGTCAGGGCTTCCCAAACTAAAATATACTGTGATCTCAAAGGGGATATGTTCAGTTCACTCAATAAGTAACATTCCAACCTTAAATTGCTCTAGTAACTTGCTACTGCACTTTTCAAATGGTTACTTATAAGTTGCATGCTATAATCTTATGTGGTGAATTTTCAAGAAATCGTCACCGTAGCAACCTTGATTGCATGTTGTTTTAATTCCACTAGACCACACAGTAGAAAGATCTTGTACGAAACTCATTCCATAAACACAGTGCCCCTAGCCGCTATTTTTTTAGATGCCATGACCCATGAGATGACTCAGTTTAAAATCGGATTACCGGTATAGCAGTGTTTCTCCAAATGTGTTATGAGTCACACTCAAAATTTTCCATTAAAACAATACATCTGGCCAATTGAAAAGGGCAACAAAGTTAAGAAATTAATTTAGCAGTATTTATAATTAGAATTTATTTATTTCATCCATAAATCTTCAGACTGAAAAAAAATTGGATTCAGTGTGTCATCAATTGAACTTTCTTCAACAATATTAATTATTCACAACAAGCAGAAATTCGTCATTTGCCATTTTGCTCTACTGTGAAATCCCCCTCAATGTTGCTGCATTATCGAAGTGCATGATGGACAAAATGTTTGAGAAACTCTGCTGTGGAATAATTACAAGAGTTGAAGCTTTTTAATGGCTCTGTACTGATCCGGGATCTCCTTGAGTGCATGCAGGGCGAATGAAGCATTAGGATTGCTAACTCTATTGGTCACACCAGCGTAATCGACAAAGTGGAAATTGTCAAAGTTCCTTATGGGCAGTTTCTCATCAAACTCCTGTAAGTATAGAGTAAGTTGTACTTATGGAGTCAATGTCTTGTATCGGATCGGAGAGTTCATTCAAATAGCAACACTTTAATTTTAAATTATTGTAAAATTTGCCCAATATTACATGGGGTGAATGGATGTAAATATGTTGCAGTTTATTTGATATTTAATTGGCAAAATAGTTTGATGCTGCCTGATATCATTTACTCTCAAAGCCAATAATTTTATTCTATTTATTAAATTTGAGTCTATATCCAATATTTTTTACTATACTTACATCTATGAACTGGAAAATATATGCAATAACTTGAATCTAACTTACAACTCTTAAGTCTCATTCAAATGGTGCCGTGTCCTACCTTGTGTAAATCATGTCCAATAAAAGTTATATCCTGATACATTTTTTTAGTTATTTTCCATATTATTTATTGAAGGGAGATAAAGGGCCTTTAAATACCATTTTCTTTTTTTTAACCAATTATTATTGAACAAGGAAAATGACCTTCATAGTGTCCCAGGGACCATCACCGACTCCTACAGTTATAATGGACAAGGGATAATTAGATGCTTCAACTATGGCTTGTGTCGTGGCCCTTTCATTGGTCACTTGTCCATCAGCCACAATCACCAAAATATGATACTGTGGAGAGAAGGTCTGATTCAATTTTTATTAAAAATTTAAGTTGAGAAATTTAATGATTTATTCAAATTTTTACTAGCCTAGTTTCAAGCTGGTCAGAGCAGTTCAGAAACTAATTAAAGGACAAAGAAACCTCTACATCAAATTGTCAAAGAGCCTCACTGTGTTAACTTTTTGGTGTGTGGTGTTCAAGAGTGGTGTTTAACAACAGAACTGACAGAATACCAGTAAATGGGGTCATGAAACATTTTAAAGAATTAAAAGAGTTTCTAAATATAAATAAAGACTAATGTTACTGAGGAACTCTACAGTTGGCCAAAGAACAGATGCAAACAGAAGTGAAAGAAAACAGAAATTAATTTAAACTTTGAAGGTAATTTGAAAGTAATTTGAACTTTGAAGGTAATTTGAAAGTAATTTGAATTTTGAAAGTAATTTGAAGTAACTTCAAATCAACTGACTTAATCTGAACTTCGAAAGAAATCTGAACTTTATGGTGATGAAAGTTGAACTTCACAGCTGAAGATTTTTGTTGCTGAGAAATAATAAGTGCACATGACCTACTGGTAAGTGGTGAATCTCATCCAGCAGACACAAAAATGGTTAGTGAAGGGTAGTTTTATAATGGATGCATATTGTAACATTTTGATTCTAAACTAACACAAGGATGTACAAAAATTAAAGTGTTAAAAGAAACTGGAATGCCTAAAAAAAATTAGGATCCCTTCAGTAGCAAAACTTCTGCATCAGGCATAAACTCATTCTGAAATTAGACGATCCACTCCTGAGACTTAGAAGACATCAACACCAACATGGAAACAATTTAATATTTCAGTATTTTTGTTACGATCCCTGCAACAGTGGCTTCTTGGCAAAATAGATTTAGTTAATATTGTTAATGGTCATAACATTATACCAGGTCATCTACAGCACAAGAAAGAAATTTTTAATCTGGTTGTACTAAGTGGTGAGGGGATTCAACTTCAAATCAACTGAACTTTGAAGAACTAGAATTAATTGCATCACTGAAGACCAAAAAAGGCAAAGCTCTGAATTCATCATTAGTGTTATAGAATCTGTCAATGTGATCTCAATGTAATAATAATAATAATAAAGTTTATTTTAAAAAAACATGCTTCATACCCAAAAGCTCGAAGCCCTGTTTAAAGTCAACCATGTTAAGAAAAAAATTTTGTTAATGTAAATAACAGGTTTAATTAAAAATAGTGAAGTAGATTATTCTTTTAAGCAAATGAAAAAATTGTTCCAGTTTTCCCTTGGAATCTGGCAGCACTAGCTCTTTGAAATATTTGCACATAACTATTTTATTATAAAGACATCAATCTCTGATTTAATTTTTACCGCACATCTGAAATTTTAAAAGAGAAAATGTGTTATATTTTATGATTGAAATATTTGTTAAATATTTTACCATTTATTATTTTTATTGTATTGACCTCAGGAGAGAAGGCAGGGACTGTATCTTTCAAAAATGATAAGTAGGTAATAGGGCTCAGATAGTGTTTGTTTTACTCCTTGCTCCCGCCCTTTCCTCTCCATTCTGAGACTTAATTTAAAAAATGTCACTTACACAACCCGTTGCCTTGACGATGTCTATGGCTTGGTTGATGAGTGGAGCGAAATTTGTGGGGCCTCCGAGTCTTACTTTGGGAGTTAGCTGGTTGTAGATTTCCAACACTTCTTTAAACCCTGATGGAATGCCCTGAAATGTAAATCATCTTGTAGAACCTGTCACAAAACAGGTGGCTTGGAGTGATTATGTGAAATACGGCAATAATAAGGGAGCTTGCTATGGAGTAAGAAACAATGCTTCATACTATAGGAATATTTGATTTTTGTCTTAAAATTGTTAAAAATTAAAGAAAATAAAGATAGTTTTTGTGACTCACTTCTGTCTTGAGAGGAAACACTGAATGATCCTTAGTATAGGCATCCCCAAATCCAAACGCCGGTATGGCCCCATCACTATCGAATGGCTCCAGTGTCTCACCAAGGGCACAGATTACCTGGACAATGGAAGTAAAAATGTTGTCCTTAAATACACCTTAGTTAATAGCAATCACAAATGCATTAAAGGTTAGCTTAGACATTGGACATC